TGCACTAGTTTCATGTCTCTCTTGTCACACCTCAAATTCATATTTCATGCCATACACAAACATGACCCTGAACTTTTGAACGGTAGTGTATATGTTACTTATTATTTATTGTACATTTGTGTCTTTTACCATATTGGTGTTGCCACCATTTTATAACATCAACAAGCCACTTGTATGTTACAGTTGTTTTGCATTGGTTAAATGCTAAAGGCTTTACATTTTGCCTAATAACACCTCTTAAGCATAGTAAAATCTGTAATGCACAGCCAGCTTCGAGTGGTATATTGGTTTTAAATATATTTAAACTGCTATTAATTACAAAGGAAACAGTCTACATCACTCACAAACATTTTCGAAGGATAATTATAAACACAGTGGCACAAGCACATCATGGAAGTCAAACAAAATTGCAATTAGACACTGCCAACTAACATTTTCAATGTTCAGACAACTTCAATTACAATTTACCAATGGAAATCATACTAACCTGACATGCTCAGCTGTAAGGAGAGCACTGTAGTTTTGGGTGACCTCCGTGAGGCTTTTAACCATTTGGAGGCCGGAGGTGAACGGTGCCCGTCAGTATGAGACGATTCAGCTTTTGGGGTAGAGGACCTGATGGAGTCATAGGTAGGCATAGCAGATGTACTTCTATCTGAGACTAATGCAGACTGTGATGATTCTCTAGGTGACGGCTTTAATGAAGGAACTGCGGCGCTTGGGGAAGTGATAGCAAATTCTGGAGACAGTTGAGCTAATTTTGGTTTAGAAACAGGTGTTGAATGAGCAGGTATGGATTGGATTGGGTTGACTGGAGAGGAAGCTGATCTAGACCTTGGGGATGGAGAATCTGGAGGTTTTGGACTTTGTTTAGAGATGAGAAATGCAGGCGAATGACTTTGAGAAGACCTAACCAGATGGCACTCTACCAGGAGAGGGGCTGACAGTGGAAATATGGTCCTCAAAGCCTAAGAGAGTTTGATTTAATTCGTTTTTTGGGAGTGAAGGAGATGATGTTGGCAGAAGCTCTGAGGGTTTATCCTGTTGTGCTGAAGAAGATCTTGTCCGTGGGCTTGGTTTTGGAGAGTCACTGAGTTCCACTTTCTGGCCTCCTGTTTGTGAATTCAACAGAAATGGCTCTGAGGTAGCCGACAGGTGCTGTGATCTCTGAAGCCTCGTTTGAAGTGGAGAGAAGCTTTCTGATCTTGGCAATGATGATGAAGATTGTGTGGCTTCTTGAAACGGCGGCCACATCTCAGGAGAAGAGTTGATCTTTATGTCAGAATTACATTCACTGAAGGATCCTTTGGTCATCTCGGAGAAGGACGGTGTGGAAGGCAAGACCGAATATCCAAAATCTCCTCGTTCAGATAAATCTTCATTTCCAACAGCTGCAAACCTTAAGGAAGAAAAACAGACATGCATATATAACATCTAACAACTTACTCCCACAGTTAACAGTCTTGTTTTAAGTCTAGTTGTGGCTGATATAAATGTAAATGTCAACATGACACTGTATTTGTGTCAGTTCTCAGCAACTTCAATAATATTGTTGCTTCAAGACGACACTCCTACTGTGAACTTTTCTGTCGCTTCCTTTCAAAAAGTCTAATTTTTGCCTTGATCTTGTGTTTCTTACATTTTGCTCTCATTTCCCTGCTTGACTCCAAAGGATCTGTACAGTGTAGCGTCTCCAGCCATCTTCTGGAGAAATTAAAGTGATAAAAACAGTGGTTGTCAGAAGAAGACAGAATGATAAGTGTAAAGAAACATCATTGAGGAGTCATTCTCTGGCTACCGCCCAGCAGTCCATTAGAGAAACTAGGGTGGTGGGGTTCAGAATTACCTCATCTAACTCTACAATGCTTAAACAGGATTCTGCAGGGCTGTCTGCTTTCCCAGCATCCTCAGCGAGAGCGATCATGAAGAGAGAGGTAAAGTATTTATGCAACTCCATTCGCTCTGCTGCAAATCAGAGATGCAGTAAAACAGATTTATGTTTAGAGTTAAACACTGAAATTAAATCAGCTCAATGTTCAGTTTCTACATACTTATTCCTAATACAGAGTGACAGATCTCCAGATTTATTTCAGTCCATGCCCTGTGAAAATTATTTTTTTATTTTTTAAGACATTAATTTATTTTCTGAATAAATACCCCATCCATGCCCAATTCATTCATGCATATTACTTAAAGAAAAAAAAAATTTCTTAATATTTCAAAATACACTACTGTTTAAAGGGGTCATATGATGCGATTTCAAGTTTTCCTTTCTCTTTGGAGTGTTACAAGCTGATTGTGCATAGATAAGATCCCTGAAGTTGCAAAGACTAAAGAAAG